TTTTAGATACGACTTCGGGTTCAGTCACAAGGCTACGAGGTTACAACCAAAATATGATTACCAAACAGAGGCCATATCATAACAACCCGTCAAAAGGAAGTGAGTTGTTTGTGATCACAAGATCTGCAACCAACTTTGACTAATGTCCCGTTTTCTGCAAGGCCGTTTAGTTTTCTCCTCTCCCAAGCTGTGAGTTTAGAGAAGCAGCAACATCCTCATAATGAAGCCGTAGTGCTCGACTTTCGACATCAAGAAGGTCATGGTGATAATGCAATTAGTGCAAGATCTGGACAAGAATAACGAGCATAATCCATAGAGAAGGGGAACAAGGGACAAACACAGCTAGGTGACTGTGCGCGATTGAAAAAGTCCTCCTGGTCCGGTTTTCGAAACACGCATCTCTCCACGCCCAGTGGAGCGCTCTACCAACTCAGCTAACCAGGAGTTAGACATCAGTAGAGCAAACAGATCTTAACGGCTGCCACCAGTATAACACCAACAAGGATGAAAGGCCTGCATTTTAAGGATATCGGAACCTGGCGGATTTTTTCAGTCGCGCACCAGTCACCTAGCTATGTTTGGAGTTTTGTGCTTGTCCTTTGTTTCCCTTCTCCAGGGATTATTGTCGTTATTCTTGTGCAGCTCGCTTGCACCTTTGCATTATCATCATAACCTTAAAATGCAGGCCTTTCACCCTTGTTGGTGTTAGACTGGTGGTAGCTCTTAACACCTGTTTGCTCTACTGACGTCTAACTCCTGGTTAGCTCAGTTCGTAGATGCAATATGCCACGATAATTACATAAATTTAGTGGTAATGTCAGAATACAATTTCATAAGCCTTAAAATAAATAAAAAAGTTTAAAAAATTACAACTGCCCTTCAGTAATCTGACGATTACAGTTTTCGTTATCTCAAAACTACTACTGACGACATGATGCACAGGCCATTCTTGCCGGTTTTAGCGTTAAAAGGGGTGTTCTTTCTTGTCCGAAAAACTTCCTATTTACTTCAGTATATGGTTTGTAATTACCGTGAGACTCTGTCGACATGTCGAAGAGTGTATTATCCCAGAGCCGTTTATACTAAGAAAGTTTGGCCTTTTTATGGAGATTTTGACAGCCTTGCAACCACATCAGCGTAGTCTGAAAACCGGGGGATGACTACTTCCGTCCGCCATTTTGTGGCTCTGACTCATAGGAACTCTATGCGATTTCTCAGGAATAAACAAGACAGAGAAGTAGCGCCATTTTGTGTTATCGCGAAATCCGCTGGTTCTAGCGGGCAGCAAGCTCCACCCATTGGTCAAACTCCCTCAGTATAAACGGCTTTGACTACAGTAAAATGGATAAGTAAGTTAGTTGGTACGTATTTACCTTGTAAAGCGCCTAAAACACGAGGACACGAGGTAGACGAAACAGGACCAAGCGCTAACTTACAACTGAACGTTTATTGAAACACACTTATTATGTGTATACACAAATTCAGGCTCCCGACACAAAAAAAACTAACTCTTTCTCAGTTCAGCGCACTGACGGTGCACTTACGCAGCTGTCCTCGGCCTTTACTCTAATGCAGTAGGCCTCAAACAATTCTCTCTCGGTTGTGTTATTTTTTTATTTTTTTTAGTTTTCCAACTATTTTTGTTTCGTCAAGATTAGGCGTACACGGACACCTATCACAGTGAATTGCTAGGAAGAGTAGGGAGCCTGAATCTGTGTACAAATTCAAGCACAAATTGTGTACCAGCCAGCCCTGTGCGACCGCCGTTGCCATGCGCCCTATTGCCTAGCCTCTCGAAAGAAGCGGCCGGGGTGCGGGTGCGCGCTTTGGACGCCCTCGAAGTCGCAAGCTCCTGCCGCCGGCTTTGGAGACCCGTCATCGGCTTGCCACGCCGTTCTTGGCGCACAGTCATCTTACGATGTCACCGAGCTGTAAGCGCACGGCGCTGTCGCCCCTGTATGCACAACATGTATGCACAACAACGAAATGGCTCTGACGTTTTCCGCGCATCGCGCGCACGTCCTTCATGCACACGCTAAGCGATTTGATCTGCTTGCACCAGGGTAGGGTGTACGAGAACTGGGATATGTGCCGACCGCACCGGCCTTTTCATAGGTGCTGTCGTGTGGCCCAATTCTGGCGCAGGGGCCTGGGGTGGCGCTGCCAGTCACAGCGGGGTCAGGAAGCCGGCCAGGCCTCACGTTTGGTGTGACTATTTATTCTTGTTTTTGCGTTGTGTGTGAAGCGATGCGATATATTGTGGCTGGGGGTAGCTGTGCCGAAGGGCGCCGCCGGCCAGTGTTCGCCCTGCCCAGTGGCGGCTGTTTTAGCGGGGCAAAACACATGCTTTGCCCCCCCCCCCCCCCCCCCCCCTCCCCCGGGTTGGTACGCCCATGCCCTACATAGAAAACAGGAAGACAAAATGATAAACAGCTTAGCGTTTTTTTCTCTTGTTTTCGTCCCGTCTTCCCTTTTTTAGAGTTTACTAGCCTGCACTCCTATATTTTCAGTAATACACCAACCAACATGTAAAAGAAGAAAAAAACAAAAACACCCCCTTAATAAAAAAAAAAAAAGAAAGAAGCGAGGTAGAAAAATGGCAGCATATGCACCGTGGAAGCTACTTTGGAATGCTCATTGTCACTTGGTTCCAAAGCGTACTTGATTTCTTTAATCGCTGCAGTGGGTAATGTTTATGATCTTTCGTTCAACTTGTGAGTCGTGAAAGTAACGAGTTCAATAGCCAAGCTGTCACTTGACGCTTTATTCAAGAGTGAATACTGACCTACAACTTCAAGCGTGCCATCAACGTCTCCAACAGAGTAGGCACATTCACGTCTGGCAGCATCGTCCTCCCTAGGCGAGAGCGATGTTATGGCCAACGACGTCGGTCTATATGTCGGAAGCCTCGACTTCGAGCAAATCTCCAGCCTGTGCGGAGCATTTTCGCTAAGTAAACTCTTGCCTTTGCCCGGAGACCATGTATCCTAATGTAAACGGCCTGCTGCAAATACTGGCTACCATGTGCGTTAGCACCGCTGAAACGGAACATTAGTTCTCGAGTCTCGGAAGACTCAAGTCACACTTGAGAGCTTCAACGTCCCAGGAGCGGTTGCTAGGGGTTGCGCTCCTGAACATTCACCGGAGCATCCAAGTAAGCCTCGAAGTGTCCCCTCGCTTCTTTCTATCGACTGACGGCGGCTTCCACTAAATGTTTAGACCCCACAAAATAATACAAACTGGTACTTTTCTCTGCTTCTTTCTCGTAAAACGACATCGAAGAACGGAAAGAACCCAAAGCATGACCATGGCACGATCATTTCTGAAAAATGTGATCCGCGCAGGAACAATGAGCGTGACACTTCACGTGCTCATTGCCCCAGTGCGCATTGCAGTTTATGTTTAATCGTATTTTAAACTTCACTATTCTCTGACACTATTCCATAGTTTTTTTAGCCATTGGATACCCGAGTGTTCCGCAGAGAAGTGCACGCACCAGAATTTTGTGGGCCCGTCAGGACTTTTTTGTTCAAAGCCCATTATTATATTTTATGATTACGTGTTTTCGTTGTTCACCAATAAAGTTTCCCTATTTAAAGATTGAACGAACGAGAGGTGGCAAAAAAATGTTGTATTTTTGTCTTCCAAGAAACAGGAAAAGTAAAACTGTGTTTGTGCAATTTATTGTCCTCTCTGTTTGTTTTTAGAGCGCAGCTCTTAGGTGCCCGTTTCCAGCTTAAGCGGCGTCGGCGTAACCGCGCGGTGCATTATGGGACATATGCCATGATGCAACGCAAGGGGAGGAGGGAGGGAGATACCATAAATGTCCCACAATGCACTGCGCGGGACCCTCGTGACGTCACGAGGGTCCCGCGAGGTGCATTATGGGACAATTCCCATAATGCACCGCGCGGGGAGGAGAGGGGGAAGGAGGAAGGGGGAAGACGCAGAGAGAGGAGGGGAGGAGCTTGAAGGATTTGTGGAGGACGTGGAGGGGGAGGAGTAGCAGGGAGGATGAGGAGGAGCGGTATACACTCCCCTCAATACCCTTCCCTCCTCCTCCTGAAGAGCTGCGCTCTAATTTGGCGTTTCAGGGTGTTGTAAACGTTTTATTTCTTGGGGGTTTTCTTTTTTTTTTTTTCCTTTTGAAGTTTGGGCAAAGAAAAACTTTCTGAAAAAGTTTCCTGGCTACGCCACTGGCTGCATTCACCATGTTTTGGTATATATATAACCGCTGCGCGAAATGCTCACATATTTATTCGATTATCAGCTTGACAGCAGCAGCGATTTCGGCCCATTAATTACTATCATCATAATCATCGGAAGCTCAGCACCCTTGGTTGGGTTTGGGTACTGAGCTGCCGAGTAAGCAGCAGCAAACGCTGGATAGTTATTGAGCTCTGTCACGAGCGAGGAGGTGGCGCCACCAAGTGGCAAACCTCCTAACCCAACCAGCGTTGGCTAATGCCCCAAAATGCTTCAATGTGCTCCACAGTCTAGCCTCCTTTTCAGTTCTGTTCTACTGCCGTTCTCCCCGATCGAAAAAAAGTGGGAAATCGAGCCCCCTCACCCGACTTCACCCCTTTCCTGCAGGACTGTAGAAACCATGCCATTTTTGCCTGCCTTCGTGTTTCATTTTTCTTTCGTGGTAATGAATGAAACAATACCCGTGCCACAAGCTCGCAATCTGCCCCGCGTGGAATGCACCACCCCCGGAGTGTCGCGCGCTGATTGGCCGTCCGCTCAAATGTCATTCGTTGAAAATGGCATTCGAGTTGCCCGTGTGGCACGGGTATAATTCAGCAGAGCCTTTTTGATACAAACCATACTCCAAAGAGACATTCAGGAAGTTAGAGCTTTGGACAGGCTTACAATCAATTAGCCTGAACGGAGATTAAACCCACGTCTGGTTAAATATAAGGCTGGTTATTGTAGTACTTTACCTTTATCGAGATTAATGAGACCTCACAAACTTGAAGAGAATGTGACAAAAACATGGCTCATAATAGAACTGATGCAACTTTAATGACCTTCACAGACATTCATAATGTGCTCAGGGTTCACTTTCCACAAGTCAAACACAAAACACCAGCTCCTCCTACACATGCCAAGGTGAAAACTTACATCCAAAGAAAAAAGGCAAAAAAAAAAAAAAATCTAGCCAGAGCAAAGCTTGAAACCAGCACTCCTAAACGATCATGAGACCACTTACCCTACACAGAATACAAGTGACCATCATCGAACGAGTATCAATGCAGGGGATTTGTAAACATGCCTCCTTGATAAGTACCTCACCAAGTTCTTTTCACGTTTCTTTGGGATATTTGTACAACAAATATGATGCATGATTGTTAACGTGAACAGCCTTGTCTATTGCCGAATTCCACTCGTCACGTTTCAACACACTCAAGAGTGATGCTACGGGGACTATAAAATATCTGGAAGTACTCTCAACATTTCTTAAATGTATCCATATTATTGCAATCGCTGCTGTCACTCTCAACAGTACTTATGAGCCTTGTGGACAACAGCATGAGATTAAATGTACCAATGTCAAGCATTCTTTGCCAGCTACAAAATACAGGTATGCATAGGACAGACCAGCCATCGAACATGTTGCCATGAAAGAATGTAGCCCTAATCCGAGAATATTACTTGTTGCTGGGTAAGACAGCAGAGAAATTAAGCTTTGCTGTTAGAAAACAGGGCTCTTTAGAGTTTCTGAGAAAAATATAGGATCTGCTCAGTTTTGCCAATTGAAAGCTTTATAGATAAGTGTCTCAGACGGGCAGATATACAGTGCCTTTTTAATAATCAGAGATATGCAACTTCCCACATTACCTTGGTTTCAATAATCGAGCATCTGCTTGCCAAGCAAAAAGAAGAAATACCGGAGTACCAGTGTAGTTAAAAAGCACTAGGGATGTTCCAGGCTAATAGATTATATGCAATGGTTACAGAGCAGAGAGAGTAAGCCACGAGGTAGCTCTAGCTGCAGATACTGGGCTTGCTAGAACCTATGCAAGACAAAGTCAACACTAACAAACACAAACAATAACTTCATGTACTTTGTTTCTAGATATACAGTCATATCACAACCAAAACAACCAAAACCAACATTACATCAGAGCAAAAACCAAATGCAAAAGCTGTAAACGTCACCACAAATAGATGGCTATACATTAAAATTGTACGAAAACTAGTGTACAATCCCACATAACAATTACAAAAAGCAGCACAGTTTAAAGTACGCACTTCGAACTCTAGCACAGAGGGAGGCAGCCTCCCCACGTGCTTCATGAGGCCACCTCAAGTCATAGCAGTGGCCAATCACTTGCATAACCCAGGAGTGTTCAGAGCACCCATTCACATCACTGAAATGAGATCAATAACATTTTTTCTGATTTTCACACTACGCCGCACAATGCGAGTGATGCTTAAAAAAAAAAAAAAAATGTACTTCAAGTGGACTTTCTTAATGCTTCAGGTGAGTTCAAATGCAACATGAGGTAAGAGAAGCTGGTTGGAGGTACTCTAATACAAATCTCCCAAAAAAACCTCAAACTGGCCGTCTGTCCGGGGCCTCCCAGGAGATCTGCTTCGAGTCAGCTGGGTGTAGTCTGAGAGGCCAAACGGTATGAATGGGCGACGAACAATGAGAGCCCCATCAACGCGACACTGTCGCGGTACGGGGCCAAGAGGAACAAACGTCTGTAAAGGAAGTCCTTAGAGTTGTGCCCTCGGGGAAGAACAGCCAAGCTGCAACCAATCACACATGAGAAGTCCACACTTTTCACGTCTTATTGCAGCTTCTCAAAGCACACAAAGGCAAGTGGCATGCTTAAAAAATAAACGCCCCTCTGCATTCAATTTTACCTTCCCAGGAGAGGCGAAATTAGCCAGTAGCTAACCAAAGTGCCTGTCTACATTCCGCAGCACCCAGGCACTCTAAATGGCACAGGGTTCATACCTTTCCTAGCTTGTTTCGTTACACCAAATATGGCGGAACTAGTTTTGTTCGAGCTCTTGCTTCTCAAAATGAGCGCCCGACTAAAAACGTGCTGGATCCGCATTTATTATTCCTTTCTTTTCCAAAGGCAGGCAAAAACAATTTGGTTCCGACGCATCGGTCATTCCCTCGCCTCTTCGCTGTGCCACGGCTGAAGCTGCCACCCCGCGGCATCTCAATCCAAGCCGGGTGATTGTTCTTTCCCTCTCTCATCCCAGCTCGGCCCAAACGGATGTTCGAGAAAGATGGTTCTCCGGCTCTGGGGGCAAGCCAGGGCCCGGTGCGTGCCGGTACCAAGGGATGAAGACCCCTTTCGCGTGTGGTTCGAGGTTCGGCTGCTGGTGCAGGGTGGTGGTGCACTGGTGTTTGCGTGAGCACGCGCTGGGGCACTTGTGGCCCCGCCGTCGAGGTTGCCGCTTGCACTGTGCGTAAGCCGCCCCCTTCACGAGATGTTGGCCCACCGGAGGAAGGCCGGCAGGTCCCGGACGGGCACGTGGTGCGTCAGGGCCTTCACACACAGGTTGCGGTCCTCCGTGATGAGCACAGTCTCTCGGTACAGCTTCACCGGGGCATCTGGTAAGGGGGCCGAGAAGAGGCACGTGAGCCACTTTTGCAAATGCTTCTCCAAGGAAGCGAACAATGAGAACTGAGCAGGATCACTATATCGGTTATATAAAAATTACTGGTTGAGTTACAACCGATAGCGCCAAGTTCTTACGTCATTTAAAAATCCCGTTCTTGGCTCGGTACTGCTAAACACTGACGTCGGGTATGACCAGCATTTATGTAAAGTGCCCTTGCCACCCAGCAAACTGCTAATAAATGAAAATTAAATAATTCATCCACCCATACATATAGTATCTATGATGTCAAGAAGAAAACATGAAGAAGAGGACATTTTAAGTGAGAAACTTGATGCTCAGAATTGGTAATGAAGGCAGCATGGCCTTGCAACTGTAGAAGGTTGGTGAGCTGGGCTAGTTGGTAAGCATTATACATGGTTAAAGTCAGCGAACAACGTAAGAAAACAGTAGAAGAATACAGAGGACAGGAAAGAAACTGCCTTTCTTGTCTCATGTATTCTTCTACAGTTTCCTTACATTGTTCACTGACTTTAACCATGTATAAGGCCTTGCAACATGTGCACTTTTGCCGGAAAGCCCTGGCTAACAAAAAGTTAGGAAACTATCCCTCACTCATTTTACTGTTGCAGTAGGGCAGTAAGTCTCCATCAAACTACCCAGAGATTAGCAGCTTCTGTTGAATAGTCAACACTTTATCCACATTCTTGCTAGCACTGCTTACTCTTACTTGCATTGCATGATTGCAAGTGCCTCTGAAAATTTGGATACAAACACTTTGCTAAACGTCTCCGATGCATCAGTCATTTAATGCCTCGTCCTGCACCAAACACCGGCATGTTGTACATTTCGACAGCAATGCATAGAGTGCAAAATATATTATACAACTTGCTCAGTTATACTGTGCACCGAAAAACCTCAGAGAAGGTGCTAGTGAATTCCAGAGCAGTGGAGGGAAAACTTTGTTCAAGCAAAAGCCAGTCACCAGCTAAAACCAACAAGGAGACTTGTGCCTGCAAGTATGACCAGGACCTTATAATGACATTTATACAAACCATGCTTCAGAAATGCACAAAGCAAATTTTCAATGCAGGATTTTATCATTTTATATTCCGTTCGGATACATATTCTGTGTATATCGCCGGTGCCAGTCACTCATGAATGATGATAAGTCCGAACAGAGGAAGCGCTTGTTTTTTTTCCTTGTACAAGCATTTTTTTAGCAGAAATTATGCATCAGTGGGCACAATCATAAGCCTGGAACACATGTACAAAAACATTAAAGAAAAGCTTACTGCTATTTCTGGTCAAAAATTTGCTCACATAAAACGTTTTTCTAAAATGCCATTTTAACAATTTTCTAATCTTCCAAGTCCTGTCCGATTTGCGGCTAATTTTTCGTAAACATATTCCAGCATTAGACGCAGACTTGTAAGTAACTTAAATTCACCATGCTCAAGTTACGGTCTATTCACATGGTGCATCTTTTAGGCGAGTCTAGTGCCGCGAAACTAGGTTTCGGGAACCAGATGCACAGTTTGAACAAGATGGGAAAAGATGCACGCATCGCAAAAAGGGTGCGCGCACTCTTCGCTCTTGGAGCAACATTTCATAGAAACTTCACCGAGGCCTGTCAATCACCCCAAGAAACGAGGACGCTGCCAATGGCCGTTCGATATCGCTGAGACGTTGAATCTTCGAGGCGGAGCGAGTTTTTAGAGGAGCCTGATTTTTGGACGATCCTGTATTCGAGCCAAAGCCGGAAAAAGAAAGCAAATACGATGGCGAGCGACGAGTGGAGAAGCAATGCATACAGGCAATACGGGTTGGCAGTGGGGTGCAGACTCCTGAACAGTTGTGACGAGTACAAGCACTGCATATAAACGTGATGACTAAGGATAACTGATCGTTCCGTGGTGCAAAAAGTTTCCGAAATACTTCGAGATCACCTGCTCGTTGTTCGATGTTCGTGGTCTTTCCCCGGTGTGCCAGGCTTTATGGTAAACCGAATGAGCCATATCCAAAAAGTTTATTGCGCAATATTAATAAAGCAGACAGTCTCTTCATGCTGCGTGTACTTCATATTATTTGCTGCGAAATGCTCTATATCCCCGGTGCAGATGGCAAGGTTGCAAAATCCTCGCAAGTCAATACGACACAGATTTTAAGCATCAAAACTCGATGTGCGAGTCCCAATGCGAACTAGCAGGTTGCGTAAAATCTCGGTTTCACGAAACCGTTGCACATTACTCTATTTTAAACAGATTCGGGAATAACTTTGTGCCTTACAAACACTTTCACAAGATAGCATTTAGCACTCTCACAAGATAGATTCAGGACTCCAACTTACATACTCTATTGGAAGATTCTTACACTCACCTCTCAAGTTACTCTTGCCTTTTTAACACAGAATATGTTACTTGGCTCGCTCCTAGCAGTTTCCAGTTTTGCGCTCCTGTTACAGAAGACTATAACAAGAGTGTTGCATTGGTGCTCGACTGTAGCTCATGTTCTCACTGATTAAACGTGAGAGCCAGTTAAACCCCTTTGCAATACTGGTGTCCAGTCTATGCCCTATACTGGCCATCCGCTAGGTGACCTAAAGACAATCTTGCACCACAGCCTCACCATCCCATCAGCAACATTTGACTATGTTACAATAACTGCATTCCAAACCTTAGCTGAGTAGATCCAAGTCTTTCCCGCAAGTTCGTATCACGCGATAACGCAGATAGGGTGATGCTGGACACAGGTATGGTTTTCAAATGCCACAGTGCAGACCATCACTCTGGAGCGAGTTGAGTCAATTTTGGAATAAGGCCGAAGCGATGCAATTTCGAGCTACTCTACAAACAGGCCGACCTCACTGAGTGTCCCAAGCATACGTGACGCCACTATAATCCACAGAAGGCAGGCTCCAGTGCACAAGACGGCTCGTACCATCTCATGCCCCACTTGTACGGACCTGCAGCGGGGTTGTCGCACGTGCAGAGAGGCTACGGTTTCCACGACGCATGCAGCATAATGAAACTGATTGGTGAAATTGGACTGTTGATTACCAAGATTCACGCAAAGCACAGATCGAAGCAGGGAGTTGCAAATTAGCGGGGTCGAAAGTGGGGTGTGCGCCTGCGAGAGATGCAAATTTTGCGTTCCTCTCCCACTAGAGCGCTAGCTTTGACAAAGCTTTTTTTCAGAAACGCCGTGCACGAGGACGTTCGAGCCGTCGGGGCATAAAATGCGCACCAAGTTCTTCCACACAACGTCGTGGCAAGGCAACAAGATGCCTTCCGAGTCACCACTGCCTTTCTTGGGAGGCAGGAAGGTCGGAAAAATGACCAACTTCTAGCGTTTTGGCTGAAAGGCTAATAATAACAAGGAGACAGGTTAACCCCGAGCTTTGCACTCCAGAGGCCGAAATTCTGTCGGTTGAAAGAAGTTTGAATGCGAATGTTGAGAACCATGTGGATATTTAAGTTTACAAACCTAAGATATAGTAAATTATTAATGCTTTAAATGTTGCATTCCATCACATTCTAACATGTTACATTTGCCTCGTAATAATAAACCCTTCCAATACTGCCACTTTTTGTTTTACTTTGCGTTGTTCACCATTATTTTTTGGTTGTAGACTGCAGAACCGATAGACCTTTCGCTAAATACCCGAGCACCGAGAGAATGGTGGGAATGTAGGTACATATCTTGCCTTTCCTGTATAAAAAGCTTGAAGTAAATAATCAAAATAAGGCGCTGAGGAAAATCATACGAAGTGCCATTTGTTTTAAATTTTTTGCTTTCGAACAGTTACTGCTGCAGGCGCAGCAAGTGTCGCTACGTTCTTGGCATACTCTTTGAAGCTTGGGTAATTCGGCAAAAGGTCTATTGTAACATGAGAGCTTCTTCAAAGCAACAAGTTAGTTTACCAGTATTTAGTATTCCACTCAGATACTTGCACAGGACTGTGCAGATGTGATATAATGGCAAAATACCATGACGTTTTGGCTGGACTTCAGAACACATACAAATTTTGAGAAGATTCAGCTCAAAGGTCGAACTCAGTGGTGTCAGTAAAATTGCGAAGAGAAAGATCAAGATCTGAAACATTTCTTGTTATTCCTTTTCAGCTACCGTGTTTGCACGATTCTAAGGCGCCCCCGATTCTAATAAGCGGGCAATTGAGCTTTCAGATATTCAGAAAGTAAATTGTGGCCAATTCGACCGCACAGATAAAATAATGAAGATTGAACACATACCTCACGGAAAAATTTTAATGAAACAAACGCCAAGACAAAAATTAATGCCTAGTACTAGTCGCCGTTGTCAGTGTCCGACAATGGTTCTTCCCTGTCCACAGAGGTGATCCCTGCTTTCGTCTAAAGCGTTTTTATTGGTGCGCTTCTTGCGCTTGAACGAGTGTGCGACCGTTGCCTTTGGTACGGTCGTCTCCCAAGCAACACTTTGCGAGCGCGTCGAGTCGCTGGAATTGTGAGGCCACGCAGTGCTGCTCTGTGTTATCTTTTCCCGCCAGCATGACGGCCTTTCGTTTAAATAAAGCCTCCCAGTGGAATTTCTCTTTTCCATGTTAAAACGGCGAACACGACTCTGTAGATGCGTGAGAATGAGCGTGATATGAATACCGAAATGGCAAATGTAAACAAATGATCACGATGGTGACGAGTCTAGCCACCTTAAAGCGAGTATTGAGTTTTCCTTAACGCGTATGTAATTCTGGGCACTGATTTTGGCAAAAAAAAGTGTGCGTTACAATCGTGCAAACACGGTACATAGGACAGCGTTAAAAGCAACAAATACAAATATCATGTCGAGCTTCACAACTCTCCTGAACATCTAGATGTTACAGAGATAGGGGGCAACAAGGGGGGGTTTCCCTTCCCCAAATTGTTTACTAGAAATGTTTGAAATGTCGGGTGGGGTCATTGTTCTGACGCCACTGGCCGCGATCCATCTGCCTAGCCTTTGCAACGAGCCGCCCAGGGTACCTGGACATATTGCAAATAAAGATTTTTCTTATTATTATTATTGTTATTTGTTGCACGAGCCGCATCCTTTATCTGTGTAGTTTTAAAGGAAATACTGCGATGAAAAGGCCAGCACCATCGTGAATCTACAGCAATTTGCAATTTCCATTACTTGAGACAAGTGATTTACAGTGATCTCTCATTAATACGGATTCCGTTAATACGAATACCCTGCTACAAGCATCTTTGTCCCGTTTTTATTTTAAAAAAAACTCGCATTATGAAAACTTTTCAAGGAAGTGTCCATATTAATGAGGCATCACTGTACAGAGGCAAACAGTAACACTATATATACGAAGTGCCCCCAAAACATTTACTCCCTTTTTACATCACAAATGAGAAGAATGCGTAGCAGAAGACCCCAAGAAAAAGTGAAAAGTAACTTTCAGAAGATTTTGATGTATGGCAGCATTTCCCATCCTTAGAAAATATTGGTCTAACTTAACATTTTAATGCGAAGTCTATCCATTCCTGTACAGAGGTCCTTTACACTTCATTTTGCTGATTTCAGTGATGGATGCAGCATTGGACTTTTTTATAGCAGGTTTTGTAGCAGGAAAAATGTTGAAGTGGAGCAGTTATTGACCCCTTTGGAGCGGATACAAACATATGTTAGCGTATTACAAAAAAAAAAAATTAATTGATAATAACATTGCTAAATGAGTTAATCATTGATAATGATTAAAGGTTCATCCTTGATATAAAGGCATATTACTAATTGCTTTTTGTAATAATAATACATAAAAACGGTCATTTAAAAATACAAAATGGACATGCAACTTTCTTTTTAGAAACAAGGCTCGGGTCAAAATAGGTTCCGTTTACACTAAAAGCCATTAAAAAATATATAGATATATGGAAATATTATTTATAGCAAGACACACTATGAGACAAAACGTCAGTCCCCATTTTACACTCATAGTTTATGTAGCCTGTCAGTACAAATCACGTCGAATTCGGCAAAACTAGCATGACCGCTAAAATGTAAATCAATGAAAATATGTTCCACCAAGTTTTATGAACCTACCAAACTCAAAATTCAAGAATCATAAACTGAGAAAAGTCACCACCCCAAATACAAAGAATAATTGGAGTTGTGCTTTAAAAGGGACACTCCTCTAACTCTGCAAGAATTGGAGCCTAGGAGCTACCTTGACTACCGTATGCCTTCAAATAAAGGCCGGCATTTTTTTTTTTTTTCTCGCTTTTTCGGCAACATTTTGAAATTTAGAGGAATATATTAATTTCCGAGTTGATTGCGCTAACCCCTGCGTCAACCGCCGCCCCTAGCACACCGATTCGAACTGGTGAGGCTTGACGCACGTGCACCTGTGCAAGGCCGATGAAGGTCGACGAGAGCAACGTTAGTGTCATGACAGGGAGGCATGTAACCTTCATGTCGTTTAACATTAGTGATGACCATTATGAGGAGCCTATCACATTAATTAACAGTCTTCAAAAAGTGCTTGTAACTTTCTATTCAAATAACATTATGGACTGGAAGTCCAATGCTAAAGTTTAGTGTTAAGCTAGCTGGTACCTAAACTGTGCAAAAACAAAGAATGACACCAAGAAAAGATGCACAGAGAGCTGAAATTTCTTCAAATTTTTGTACAATACGTGCAGAAGGATGCAAACTCAACTGGCAAGAAGGTAACAGGGAAAAATTAGGATTTAAGCTGTTCCACTGGGAAAAGGAATGTAAACAGAAAGAACTAAAAATCTTCCCTTTCCAAGAAAGACGGCAATGGTTAGGTGCTGCTTCAATCCACGTACCTGGCTCCCTAGGAAGCAGGTGTTCGGTGCGGTCCTTGCAGAAATGGAGACAGCTGGCCAGAATCAGGTCGTCATTGGTCCCCTGCAAGGGAAGTTGCAACACCAGTGATCAAAGTGGCATTTGACCTTTTGTAGCAGACAAAATATTGGTTTGGAGCACCTAGTAATGCATTTGGGGCAGATCACTCTAAATTGAAAATGTGATGGCGTCACTAAATGAGTTCTTACCAAAATGATTTGGGTTCCTCTTCTATACTGAAGCATATTACTTACTATCTTCTGTAGTAACAATAGACAGGGCGAAAAAGGAACAGACAGCCTTCCTTTTGGAAATAAGTCTCAGGTGAGAATAGCTACAATGGGTATTAAAAAAATGGTTGAAAGATGAACCATAGTGCAGTTGATATAAACCCTCTCTCCCCCTAACACTCGGTAGATAACTTAGCCTGTAAATATAATCCCTGCAAAATGCTGGCAAAAGCAGCATATTCGCAAAATCATCTATCCATAAAAATATGTCTTCAGACCCTCCCCATCTTATACGAACACCCAACTCAAGACCTTAATATCGTAAACTGCACAATAACTAGCCAATAATATCATAAAAACCTACAGCTGTGCTTAATATTGACGATGCACTTCAGCAACGTTCGAACCAGAGTTAGGTCAAAGTTCGCTGCCCTTTCAACTGACTGCCGTATTCATTCCAATATAGACCCCAATGGTTTTTTTTTCATGGCACAGCTTTTGAAGATTAGAGGTCAACCTACACTCAAGACCAAAGATGGTCGACCTGTAATGTAACTGAGCATAATTTCCGAGCCAATCGCGCTATCCCATGCGCTCACCCATGTCAACCGCTGCTCCTAGAACTACGTTGCAAAGCGCTGAGGCTCAACGTGTGTGCACAGGTGTGAGGTTGTGAAGGTTGACGTGAGTGGCGCAGGTGCCACGGTATGTAGCCACGGTATGAAGGCATGTAGCTGACATGATAATCAAGCGATATCATGAGGAGTAAAAGAACTCTTGGTTCTGCGTCATTACAACTATATTGCAATTGTTTTAGAGACTTTTAGCTTCCGACAATGCTGACACCGTCTGAAAATTCAGACAATGACGGGACCAGCGCGGTTGACATGCAATATCTACACTTCGTTTCATTTTGAGTCAAAGCACAGGCGACACTACGAGCCAATGGGAGCAATCAGAGAGCGTCAAAAAGTCGATATTACAGCATCCGTGACCTTAGCCCTTTAGCTGAGACTGCTGTCAATGCCTCAAGCACGAGAACACGAAGTCGCTGCTTTGAGACATTCTTCTGCAGAACGAGAGTTTGCGCTAGAAATTCAAGTCTCAAAGCCAGGAGTGTGGGCTACCTCGAGCTTGTAGCTTTGGCCGCAGTATATCTGTACGTGCTTTTTCATTGGCTAAACTAAACAATCGCAAACGAATGCTCCTAGTCTCGCTCTTTGAGTATGTGAGTTTGTGATTGTATGTGTTTGAAAATTCAACTCTGCTCTGACCCAAGATGCAGCTGAGTATAGGGCGGGTAGAGACGCTGTGAACAACATATTTGCACCATTTTTGCTTCCTTCTACTCCTCCGAATATTAAAATCGACCAATAATAAAGAAGAAAAAACAATTTGTTCCAGCCTTCTTTGCGCAGTTCTTAGCGAAAATAACGCAAGATGTAGCAGACTTTCGCTCGTGGCGCAAATGGCGCAGCACTTCCATCACTGCAACGCACAAATATTAGGAGCTTAATCGTAGGAAACCAATAAAACGGGGAGAAAGGCATTAGGTTCTGACAGGATGAGAACAGCAGGAAAGAGTATCAGTTGTCTCGCCTCCAGTGCTAGCTTCTTTCCTTCGACAACGCTTAGGCAACTCGTGAGCCTTGAGTGTGCATGCGCAGCCAAAGCGCAGCGAATAGCAATGAGCGGGTGCTGGAGGCCGGATGTTTGAAAAAGTCCCCCAGCAGTTCACACTTTATCAGTGACTATAGTTGGTACATGTTTTACCAAAGGCAAAATAGCACTAAAATAGATAGAGGACACAGGGAAGAGTGTGCTGGACAAAGAACACAAGGGGCAGAGTGCTGGACGATGGACACGAGAAACAGAGTCTGTATATTTTAGGGCTTCAGAAGAACAATAGTCGGAAGAGCTAGAATGTACGCTCTATGCCAGCTACATTGCCTACCTAATCAATGAGTACTAAACCTTCAATAAAGTGCCTGGTATGTTCCGAGAGAAAAAGGTCTTTATACTTGAGACTACAAGGTCCTCGGTAAGCTCGATTCCGCGAAGAATACTGCAGCTCTCGTGCATTCCAAATTGATTTTGACGGTCTTTGAAGAATGCTGACTGAAACATTGTAGGTAAATTCAGCTGCTGCGGTGTTGAGGATTTCATCGTCGTATATTAATTTCGGAGGCATTTCGTGACTTCATACAGCATTCACAATCACCAGTCTCGCTGGCGAGAAAGAAAAGGAAATCTCACTCGCAGCTTTGGATTCAGCTCGGAAGACGAGGGAACAAAGTTTTGGTTTCACAAAACCCGCTCTGTGATTCAAGAGCATTCTCTAAATAGTATGACGATTCATTTCTGTCGCCACTGTGCTCAGTAATTTAGCTGCCTTAGAGGGGACATCGAAACAAGCCACACATCTGCCGTGACGACATAATGGCGTACAACACTACTTGCACAACCAAGAACCAGCTTGCTGGAACAGAGAGAAGTTGCATCACACTAGGTGATCCCCCCTACAAGCAGTACTTACTACTGCAGATCAATGTAACAAATATTACAAGACGTGCATATGAAAAAATGAGCGCCTCCAGGGTAACTCTTACAAAATAATTTAGATACAGCTGGCATTCATGAACTGCTGAGCTGCCTCCATACTTTCCCTGGAAATAAATATTTCCAAAGTGTCAGGAAAGAAACATCTTTTAAACATTGCAAACATTTTATCAGGTCAGAGCAGTAAACATTGGGCAAACAGATTTTGTTGCTCCACCTAGGTGTCAAAGTGGACACTTCTAGAAAGCCAGCAGAGGGTTTCCCACCTTGTTGTCGGTGACGTCCTCGCTGCGGAAGCTGATGGTGTCCATGACGGACCCCCTAGAGGTGATGGCCTTGAGCTTGGACTCCCGGTGGTCGAAGCGCTCCTCCAGGTAGCTCACCGCTGCCCTGGCTGCCAGGGCCACCTTTTGTGAGTGGTCCGGGCTCTGGTGCGGACCCTGCCGGGTGCCCCGGGCCAGGCCGTACAGCTCGTTCACCACTGGACAGAGAGGGCGCCATCGGGGTTGGTTAGCAGCCGTTCACGGTTACGACACACCCGGCAATAGTCTGGCTGCAACCATTCAGGGGGGAAAACGGGATGGCAAAACTGTTCATGGTAGGATTTCAAGTGAAATGAACTGTTGCTAAACGGGTAAGCATACCAAGAAGACAAATAGTGCTATGGAAAAGTATGAGTAGATGAAGTGCTTATACTGTTACTTCTACTCATCTTTGTGCATGGGGCTAGCTGAGCTCTTGCATTTCAATTCACTTTTAAAAGATTTCAACAAATAGTGATGAAGAAAGAATAAACAATTAACATTGGGACAACACAACTGCATCTTTCAGAAGCATGAATGAAAGATGTGGTTATGTTGTCCCAGTGTTAATTGTTTATTCTTTCTTCATCCATCACTTGAACCAACACATTCTTTTCCCAAGTATACCAAGTAACGAATAGTGTTTAGCTATATCTTCCTTCCTCTAATAAAAAGAGAGGAAGGAAGTGCTTCCCTTGAAGGTTCCAACAATTCAACATGTAAGTGCATTGCTGCTTTTTCTAGTAAAAGAAAAAAATATATATTTACACCCGTAAACAATATTAATGCAGAATGCTGAAAAATAAGTTAGTGCCCTGAGGTGATGCCCATGTCAAAGCCTACTTCTCTGACAAGCTGCATAAATTTCACCGTTTTTTAACTTTATGGAAACATGTATCAGCTCGTTTCAAAGTGTCCTAATTTTTTTGATAATTTAAGAAAAAATTACCTTAAGATAATCTAAATTATTTTAGAGCTAAGGTAATTTAAGATAAGCCTCCAGGTACTTTTCAGCAGGATTGAAACGAACTTGACCAGGTCTTTTCCTTCTATAAAAGTTACACAGCAAAACTTTGGTGAAAATCTCTATCTTTGCTTTCATACATTTCTGCAAACACCTAATCTTAAATTCAGGTTTGTTTCCAAAATTAACTCTTCTACCATTCACAAAAAGTGGTAGAAGTGCACGAACTGCAAATGCCATCCTGCAATGCAAGGTGGTATTAGTTATTTTGCTTATAATGTAATGTATTGCACACCAGCAGTAGTCAGTCATACCTTTGCTGTTCATATTTTTAAGATAAGAGCAGTGGGTTCCAAATTCTGCCTCGGCTTAACCTTTTGGAGTCTGGCCTTTTCTGATGGTTTCGCAAAAGCATCAATGGAGCAGGTCATGTCCTTGTACAGGTCCCTTGCAGATAAAGACAAACAAGAAATAATAATATCCCCATTGGTTGGGACAACTGCACACAACATGGCACCATTTGAAGCCAACTGCAAATGAAATGTGGTCAACGATACCACAGATAGTGTGTCCCGGTGCTGACTCCTCTCATGTTACAGTCAAGAAACAAATATTAAATACTCTCATAATAAGTTTCAAACTGCCTTAGACAAGAAAGGTGAATTTTGAGAAGTTCTGCTACCAGAGAAACCTACGTTCATACCCATTATGACACTTCTAAAACCTTTGCAGTTGAGTTCAAATATTCAGAACGACTTTCCAAAACCGTGGCAACAAAATTGTATATTTGAGATACAGGCAAACGGATGAGTTTTCAATGGTTCCCCTAACAGTCAAGAACGTTGTTGGCCTTGCAAACGGCCCACTCCAATCTAATGAAAGTAGTGGGCTCCGGGAAGCAACACTCGCGCGGATCGCTGTTCGTGCATGGACCCGCCAAAGCCCCTCTCCTTCTCCGCTAGACATCACGTCCAGGACTCGACTTTCCCGTCCTCCGATGGATCCGAACGTCTAAAAAGATCATTGCCGGACCTATACGGGAGATGAAGGTGGAGGGGGGCAATGGTGGCGGTGGTGGTAGGGGGGAGAGATTTTCTGCCTCCGCCCCGTATTGCTTATATTAAATGTTTTAAATGTCTGGGAATCCAGATTGATTCAAGATTGAAAGAATTCTAAAAACGTCCAATATGACACCCCAAAATTAGGCCCATATTATATGGGTCTAATTTTGGGGAGTCATATTGGACGTTTTTAGAATTCTTTCAATCTGGAATTTAGAGAAAACGTCTATCAGGACGACCATTTGAATACCAACCAGGTCGCCCGGAAGCGTCAGCTGCCCTACTATTCGCATGCCTGAATTCAAGACTAGGGCCAAAGCTGCACCCTCCGCGCTCTCGGTGCGCGCTGTTCTCCGATCAGACAGAAAAACGAGAACGCGAGCTCAAATCCTCCCAAAGGTATTTCCCTCGCGCCGCACGAGCGCAGGCGGAGCGGGACCCCCATCCCTCCGTTCCCCCGAGAAGTGGCCAAGCACTATCAGGTCCCCGCCCCGAACGCGAAGAGCCGGAAGAGCCGTCCTTCCTTCGACGGGGCCACGCCGCAGCAAACGCGCCGGATAGTCGAAGCTATTTCATTATCCGTCGCCTCACCCGGAGTCGCCGAGTGAGGGAGTACTCACGTTAGCGCGCGCCGAGCGACCAGAAAAACGTCCCGCCAAGGGCGAGGCGCGACCGAGCGAACATCGCGTGCCCTTCTCATCCTTCCGTGCCGCTCGCTCGAGGTGCGTGTGTTACTTTAAAGGCGCAAAGGGAAGAGGGGTCCCCTCTGCGTCACGCGTGTAATCACGGTAATACGAGGAATTCAATTGGCCGCCTGAAATCGAGCGGAAAGCTGCGCCGATCCATCACCATCAGGAGACGGGTCGCCTCTCTCCCTCCTCTCGGCCCGAGCCCCGTTGTACCCCGACGCTTGTGCCCCCCGGAACGAGCAAAAAGAGCCAGTCCCACACACTCCGACCAGAGAAACGAACGGAACGCAAAAGCCACAACAACAAACGAGAGGACATAATACATTACGCCCAAGAGCACCATCTCTCCTTGTTCTTCGGCATGACCGTTTCGCGTTCTTCTTTCGTAACGTGTTGTCGTTACGTAAAAAAAAAAGGATACAACGGGACCGGCAGCCATCTCCGGCAGCCGTCGAACACAAAGCAAATGACGGCTTTTAAAAGGGCGCGCCGACGTCGAGGAGAAAATTGCGACACAGCTGCGAGGCGACGTCGCCGGAGGCCGCAAGCCCGCGACTTTCTTCCCGAGTCCTTCCCCACTCCAGGAGAGGGCAGCAGCTCGCAGACAAAAGCCTCGGCATCCCCCGTAAACGCTTCCGGTGTGAACGCCCGAGAGGACGGCTGCGCCGCGGCACCCGCCGCTAAATCATCGGCACTGCGCAACAGCCCACCACAACGCGGTGCAGGGGCCCTTCAAAGGTCTCCCAACAAATGCACACGCAGCGGTGGTCTGGACGTCCTCCGTTGTGCTAGTGGGCACGATACCAGCCTAATTCAAGGCGATAACCGATGCAGTCCGCACGCGAAAAACGCGGGTTGAAGGAGAGCGCGGAACCGGAAGGAGGGCACTGGCTGGCCCGAACCAAAAGAGTCGGAGAGTAATCGGGAAAAGGAACCGATAAAAGTGCGAGAAAGAAATTCCATGCCCTTGTCATTCGCGCAGTTGATTGCATCGATCTACAAAACTACCGGACCTTTCCCGCAAGACAGCGCGTGAACCTGCTAAGTGGTGTGTTTGAACGCGAAGAGGCTGCGTAGGCCGAGATTGCTTCCCCCGTGCTCGCGTTGGAGAGCTTTCCCTGGGCGCGGGGCTTTGAGGGGGGCAGGTGGTATTGGACAAGGTGCCCCTTAACCAGCAAACTGCACGACACGGAAGCGGTTTAGGTCGGCCGGATAAAGAAAGCGTCAAAATGAAACCTTCCTACCCCGCTCTCTTGAATTTTTTAAGCGCGGAGTAAAGCGCACCTGGTTCCCATTGACCCGCTGTCCGCGTGCAGCTTCTTTTTTTTTTCTTTTATTTTTACGACAAGAAAAAAAAAAACAATTTAAAATGAAGCTACAAATAACGCTATGAAAGAGTAGCACAAACAATGTCGTTTTTCTATGTTTCTGCGATGAGAACATCTGACGAGATTAATCGGGACTGATCCCCCAGATAAATCCATAAACCTAAAACGTGCGTCAACGTTTATTGGAGACGCTTTTTAAGTATGACCATATTCAGCACTGCTACGGAGTAAGCGCTCCCAAACGGAACAGTCAACGGAAGTTGTCGATCAACAAAAACAAATACTTCACACACGCGTGCGCGGGGGAGAGAGAAAAGGTGCAACGCGTTGCGTTTCAAATCTTATCAGAATGGATAACTGGGCGAGTTGGCACGTACGTACTCATAATGACACAGCGCGATTGGACACGGACGAAGTTGTTTCGACGTGAAGTTTGAGATCTATACTGCTAACTTAAGACGGAACAAAGAACAAGCGAACAAAAAGGATACTACGTGACACATATCCGAGAACTCGTCTCGTGCTTGTCCTTCTCGTACATGTTCGCCTCAGACGCTGGCAAACAGCAAAAGGCTTCCATCGTAAACCGGAGACACGACAAAATAAAAAAAAAAAAAAAAAAAAAAAACGGACAACACAACAAGTCTTAATTGAGACTTGTTGTTCTGTTGTCCGTTGTTTTATTCTGCCGTGTCTCCAGTTTACGATGGAAGTTCTTCACCAGCTCGCCTGTGCTTTTACCCTTCCTTCAGCGAAAGGTGTCGGCTTAAGACCGACCAACTCTCAGCTTGCTAGCGGAAGCCAGGAATCTAGTCACCGACGGTCGCTTCATTCAACGAAGCACGGGGATTCCGCTAAAGACAGAATAGCGGTGAAGAATCCGCCTCAAAGCCAATATCAGCGCTTGTAGCCACGGAACCGCCGACCCCTGTTCGAGCTTTGACCCGTTAAAACTCGAGTTCGTGCCCCGGATGTTCCTCGTGCATGCTGCGCCGGTTCCTCGGATTCGAGCCCGTTCCATCTCATTCCGGTGGGCATAAAGGGGTATGCAAACCGGCGGCGTGGTCCGTAAACAACTCACCACTCCGTGAATAAATAAATAAATAAATAAATAAATGCAAAAAAGAAAAGCTGGAC